CTGCTGACCGCCTCGTGGGGCCACCAGGCTTCTCGGAGCACAAGCTTCAGGAGGAGGAGGCGGAGAAGGAGGAGGAGGATGAGGGAGGGAGAGGAGGGAGGAGGGAGGAGGGAGGAGAGGAGGAGGAGGAGGAGGAGGAGGAGGAGGAGGAGGAGGAGGAGGAGGAGGAGGTGGAGGAGGAGGAGGAGGAGGAGGAGGAGGAGGAGGAGGAGAGGAGGAGGAGGAGGAGGAGGGAGGAGGAGGAGGTGAGGAGGAGGAGGAGGAGGAGGAGGAGGAGGAGGAGGAGGAGAGGAGGAGGAGGAGGAGGAGGGGAGGGGAGAGGAGGAGGAGGAGGAGGAGGAGGAGAGGAGGAGGAGGAGGAGGGAGGAGGAGGAGGAGGAGGAGGAGGAGGAGGAGGAGGGGAGGTGGAGGAGGAGGAGGAGGAGGAGGAGGAGAGGATGAGGGAGGGACGAGAGGGAGGAGGAGGAGGAGGAGGAGGAGGAGGAGGAGGAGGAGGAGGAGGAGGAGGAGGAGGAGGAGAGGAGGAGGAGGAGGAGGAGGAGGAGGAGGAGGAGGAGGAGGATGATGATGAGGAGGAGGAGGAGGAGAGGAGGAGGAGGAGAAGGAGGGAGAGGAGGAGGAGGAGGAGGAGGAGCAGGGGGAATAGGAGAATGAGGAGCAGGAGGAGGAGCAGGAGGAGGAGCAGGAGGACGCTGCACGTGCACGCGAGTGTCTTCTGCAGCGCGGTCGCCACGAGCGCCTGATGCACCTGTGCGCGGGCATAAGCTCGCGACGTCGGCGACGTCTGCAGGCACGAGGGCGAGGACCTCGCGGGCTGGAGGCCCTCCTGCAGCAGGAGCTCGACCAGAAACCGTCCTCAAGAAACTCAACCTTGAGCCCCCAGGACGTCAGCGGATTTTTGGCATGGGCACGTCGCGCCCCCCAGAGGAAAACCACATCGACACCCGAGAACCCCAGAGCACCCTGGAGGCGAGCGGGGTGCTTCCTGGCATGGGTTTCCACTGTGCCCCCTCTCCTCCTCGTCCCCCCTCCTCCTCGTCCTCTTCCTGCTGGGCGGGCGAGGGCTCCCAGCGATCCGTGCGTGGCCGCGGGGGGGCAAGCAGGAGTGCGGCGAGGGCCGGCAGCCCCAGGGCAAGCCGTTGGGTGCAGACCAGCGGGTGCAGCTGACGAGGGGCATCCGCGCCCGCGACCACCTCCCCCTCCTCCTCCTCCTCCTCCTCCTCCTCCTCCTCCCCCTCCTCCTCCTCCTCCTCCTCCTCCGCCTCCTCCTCCTCGTCCTCCTCCTCCTCCTCCTCCTCCTCCTCCCCGTGCTCGAGCCACGCCCTGCTGGCAAAACTCCACGCGCCGCGACTGCAAGTGCTCGCAGCACCCTGCGCCCAAGTGCCAGCAGGCGCCCTGGCGCGCGGACCCTGTTCGTGCCGATCTACGACTCGAGCGGGCGAGGGATCGTGGTGACGACTCTGCCGTCGACGAAAGCGACAGCGACCACCATGCTGATGGTGGTTGCGACGACGAAGAGGGCGACAACAACGACTATGATTGTGACGACGGTGGTGATGGTGACGACGCCGTTTGCGACTGTGATGAAGATGGTGGTGGCGCTGGCGAGGACGACGATGTCATGTTCGCGCGCAGACAAGCGGACATTTTTTGACATCTATTGGGCTTCGCATGCTTTTGAACACGTACAGGTTGAATTGCTTGGCGCTCTAGACGGTGTTGTAATGATTGCGACATGGGCGCGCGGGTACGTACGAGTGTGGACAGCATCGTTTTTTTTCGCAGGGTTGTCGGGGGCGCGGTGGTGGTTGAATGGTCTCGGCATGCGCGCGCATCCCATATGGCCCCACGTGACAGAGTGGCAACACAAACCTCTGGCTTTTGATAGCTTCAGCGAGCGCGCGCGCAGACACAACCACATTTTCTCACTCGTTGTTTTTCTCCAGCACTTGTTCAACACCCTTTGAACCCCAATGGTGTTGGAAGGGTTTCGGCATGTGCGCGCGCATGGCCCGCATTCTACGCCCTTGTCGCATCAGAGCTGGTTCTCCCCTTGTATAGGCTTGGCGCGGACGACGGGGAGAAAGGGGGCTGGGTGATAAGGGTACTTTTAAGCGACCGCGCACGGTACACATTGTAAGCGCATGTGCGGAGGGAGGGTGGGGCGGGGTGGCTTGCGTGTGGCCTCAACACGTGGAGAACATCGGTCAAGTAAGGGAGAAGAGAAGAACTTGACGTCGTCCACTCCGCTGCTCGCCCAAACATCCTACCCTCCCACCCGCAACTCCTCCTCCTCCTCCTCCTCCCTCCTCCCTCCTCCCTCCTCCCTCCTCCCTCCTCCCTCCTCCCCCTCCTCCTCCTCCTCCTCCTCCTCCTCCGCCTCCGCCTCCTCCTCCTCCTCCTCCTCCTCCTCCTCCTCCTCCTCCTCCTCCCGGCAACGCTCGTGCGGCCACGCCTGCGGCCAATGGCTGGCGCTTGCTCGTGCATCCCCGCGTGTCCGCGCGGCAGCGCACCCGCCCGCGCGCGGAGCGACCGGCTGGCTCGGCACATGTGCTGCGGCCGCGACGGCACGTATCGGCGAGGGCTTCCAGCGCGTCTCAAAGGCCGTGTTGGCGCGCGGGTGCGTCAATGCGGGTCGGTAGCTTGGGCGGGCGGGATATCTTGGCGACGTCGAGAACAATGGTGGCCACGATGGTGATAGTAGCGGTGGCGGTGGCGATGATGACGATGACGACGGCCAGGCGGGTGACGGCGCCAATGCTGGTGACGACGATGATGAGGACGTCCATTTGTCGGTGATGAGTGTGATCGTGCTGATGATGGGGTTGATGGCGGTGACGATAACGGCGGTGTAGCGATGTCGCAGATGAGACAGTGCGCGCAGGACTTCATGATTTCGTTTCCTTTTTGTCTTTGAAGAACTCTACATGTAAATGCTTCGAGCACCAACGGGATTGGTTGGATTTCGACACGCGCGCGCGTGGCGGCGCGCGCATGTGTGCCGCATGGTGTTGTTTGATACAATGTCGGGCATTCGGCGATCAACGCGGATGCATCGCGTAATGGAATCAGAAAATGGATTCTGGACGAGACTACTCACATCGTGTGCTTTTCCGATGGTTTCAGCAAGTGCGCGCGGGCAAAACATGTCCAACGGTTTTGAGGAACAACAAACTTGTTTCTTCTGTGATAAGAGCCGGCTTTTAAGTTGAACGGTTGCAGAACTAACGTGTTTGGTCAAATTCGCGCATGTGGACTTTGTCGAACTTCAAAGAAATACCGGAACTGTTTTTTGAGATACACAAGTGTGCGCGCATGATACTCTTTGACAGGGGTCAGGACGGGGTCAATACCGGCATGGCTGGGTGATGCGAGTTGAGACTTGAAATAAACAAAGGTGCGTAACAAACATGAACACACGGTATGCGGATGGGTAGCGATAAGTATAGACTCGGGAGTGAGTCGTATTTTTGTTTTGACAGGGGAATCTGTGTGGTGCAGTCTATGAAGTGCAAGTCATATGGTGCAATCGATGGGGTGGATCCTATGGAGTGCATTTAATTTCTGTTCGCAGTGAGTTGTCCACTCCACTGCTCGCGCAAACATCCCACCCACCCACCCGCAACTTGGTTTGCAAAATCTCTTAAGACCGTGACGGTGGGTACCAAATGGCACTTGGCAACGACAGCGACGCCGACGACGACAGCGACAACGACGACGACGACGCCGACAACGACTACGATGACACCGACAACGTCTCCAACGACTTCGACGACGCCGACAACGACGACAACGACGACGACACCGACGACGACGACGCCGACTCCGACGACGACGACGACGATGACAACGACGACGACGATGACGACGCTGACGACGACGACAGCCACGACACCAACGACGACGACGACGACGACGACGTCAACGACGCCGAAGACGACGACGACGCCGCCGACGTCGTCGACGACGACGACGACGACGCCGACGCCAACGACGACGACGAAGACGACGACGACGTCGCCAACGAAGACGACGACGAGGGAGGAGGGAGGACGACGACGGCGACAACGACGACAGCGACGAGGGAGGAGGGAGAACGGCGACGACGCGAACGACGAAAAAGGAGGAAGGACGGCGACGCCGACGACGACAACGACGAGGGAGGAGGGAAGACGACGACGACGACAACGACGACGACGACGACGACGGCGAAAAAATAGGAGGGACGACGACGAGACGCCGACGACGGACGACGACGACGACGAGGGAGGAGGAGGAAGGACGACCACGGCGACAACGACGACGGAAACGACCACGACGCCAAAGAGGACGACGACGACGAACGCGAGGAAAGGCAGAGGACGACGTAGGCGACGACGACGACGCGGGAGGAGGGAGGACGGCGACGACGACGACGACGACGCAAGAGCGCGCGCACGCTTTCGTTGAACAACCGTGTTGCGAAACCTCGTGTTTTTGTAAGTTTCTTGGACGCGCGATTTTGAAATCCTTCCGACACCGATGGGCTTTGAAGGATTTCGCCATCCGCGCGCGTCTGCACTTCGTACCGTTTTTTGCAGAGGATTCTCGCGACGGCACACGCGCAAGGGCGTTCGACAGATTTCGACACGCGCGCGCGCGACGCCCGTTTGGTAGCATGTTGTGAAAATCTTGACAAAGCAATGGTTTTCTTTTTAGCAAATCAGTGTTACGAAACCCTGTGTTCATGTATGTTTTTTGGAAACTCGATTGCGAAATCCTTCCAGCACCGAAGGTTTTTGAAGGATTTCGGCATGCGCGCGCGACGACGCGCGCGTGTGCACTTCGTCTCATTTTTTGCAAGCGATTCGTGAATAAGTGTTATGTCAGAACAAAAAATGTCACCGCATAGTTTTTTTTACAAGGGAACCTCAGGGGGGCCGATACCGGTTGGCCTGGGACATTGTGATTTCATATTTAGGATGGACATGTGGTCATAATCATATATGATTTACATCTCC